ATAGAAGATCACAAAAGTTGTTGAAACAGGAAATTAGGACATCAAAAAGAATGTATGAGAAAAGGTTGGCTAAAAATGTAAAAATTAACAGTAAGGATTTCTTTAAATACATTAAGGGTAAACAAAATGTTAGGATGGGGGTAAGGCCCTTATGAGATGATAAAGGAAGTCTAGTATCTGATCATTATGAGGGGGCTGGATTATTAAATTTTGCTTTTTTTCTTCGGTTTTTACTGACAAAGATTTAAGCAGTATTCCCCATTTTAAACAGTTGATAAATGGAAATGAAATCAAACAAGATGACTGCATTAATTCTGAGCTTGTTAAGAAAGAATTGGGAAGTTTAAAAAACGATAAGGCTCCTGGGCCAGATAATATTCCCCCAAGGGTTTTGAAGGAGGTTAAAGATTGGATATATGAGCCACTTGCTACTACTTTTTGTCAGTCCTTGACTAGTGGGCAGGTACCAGAGGATTGGAAGTTAGCTAATGTAACTCCTCTTTTCAAGGGAGGTGATAAAAATTGTCACAGTAATTATAGACCCATTAGACTTACATCATTTGTGGAAAACATTCAGGAAAGTCTGTTAAAAGATGCTTTGCAAAGTAATTTAACAAAGCTTAGAATTTTATTGGATAGTCAACATGGTTTCACTGGGGAAAATCTTGCCTTACAAATCTTTTAACAATCTTTGAAAAGGTTACTGCTTATGTAGATAAGGGTATGGGTGTAGATTTGGTGTATCTGGATTTTCAGAAAGCCTTTGACAAGGTACCACATAAAAGGCTTGTAAAAAAAATTATCTCTATAGGTGTGGAGGATAATTTAGCTAACTGGATAGAAGAAAGCAGAAGGTTGTTACAAATGGAGTTAAGTCAAATCGGATTAATGTCACAAGTGGGGTACCTCAGGGCTCAATCTTAGGACCTTTGCTCTTTTTGATTTACATCAATGACTTAGATGAAGGAATAGTCAATAAATTACTTAACTTTGCATATGATATTAAGGTCTTGGATGTTGCTAGCTGTGAATAGGATGCTGCAGATGGGTTATCATAATTTGAATTATAAGAATAATTTGGATGGGAATAATCTTGATAGCGTTATGAAGGAAAGGGATCTTGGTGTATTAGTTGACCAGTCTCTAATGCCATCCAAACAGTGTGCTGTTTTTAGTGGTAGGACAAATAAGATTTTAGGTTTTATCTATAGAAATATCGAATACAAGTCTAAAAAGGTTATATTTATATTGTACCGGTCACTGGTTAGACCATATTTGGAATATGGCATTCAGTTTGGGACTCCTTACCTTCGGAAAAACATTTAACTGTTGGAAAGGGTTACTAGAATAGTGCCTGGCATGAAGGGGTTATCATACGAGGAGAGGCTGAAATCTATCAAATTGTTTTCTCTTGAAAAAAAGAGTAGAGGGGATCTGATTGAGGTGTTTAAGATTGTAAAGGAAATTGATTTTAGTATGTACATGAAGGGGTTTATAAACACAGCATTAAACTTTAGTATGTACATGAAGGGGTTTGTGAACACAGCATTAAACTTTAGTATGTACATGAAGGGGTTCATGAACACAACATTAAACTTTAGTATGTACATGAAGGGGTTTGTGAACACAACATGAAACTTTAGTATGTACATGAAGGGTCTTGTGAACATGGAACAATGAGGTGTAGGATGGGAATGAAGGAATGTTGAAGGGTTTTTTATCCTTTAATCTGAGATAAGATACATTTTGTTCTTGAAGATAATTCTACACACTCTGTTACTTATCACAACTGGGTGTATAGTCTTACAAAAATGAATAGTCTTGGGTTTTAGAATTCAAAAAAATTCGAAACCTGAGCTCGACAAGTAGAATTTTAAGTCAACAGATCTTATGTTTGAATCAAGGTCACTGTGGGGTTCTGCACAACATTTTACTGCAGTTTAAACGGAGGCCTACATACCTGTTTTAAGAAAGTGGACTGGGTAGCTTAAACATGGTTGTGATTGACATGGTGAGGTTTTGTCTCCGCAGCAGATAAATGTTGTGACAGCCACATTTTCATACATGGAAGCAAATAATCACAACAAATATTTCACTCAAAATTGTCATAAAAGCTTCCAAGACAAAGTAGATACATATAGAAATTATGGAACAATGCATGGTGCCATTAAAGTAGTAAAAATACAGTATTTCCACGGTTACGTTTCCTAGGCTTAAAAATGATCTGTCCTATTGTCTGTTAAGTTACCGAGTTAAGAAACTGTAGAATTAGGAGTTTAGAAATGTGAATGTGCTGCAGTATTTCAGAGTTTGAAATGCACTAATACAGGATGCAGTGAACAAAAAATTATAAATAAACGTTTTTTGTTTGTGTAAATCTAGTTGAGTGTTTTTTATTTTTCTTCTTGCCCACAAATACATAGTGTAACACGCAATGTATGGGGTCACAGTTTTTGTTGCTGGGAAGTTGTTATTGGATTATTTAGTAAAAAGAAGAATGTGAAGTCGAGTCCACATACTTAATGATAACAAAAGAGTTTATCTCTTCTACTACAAGTTTTACATCTTAGCTTAACTGATTATCACTGATAGGCATAAAAACACAATAAATGCTAATACAATAATTTTATCTTCGAATTCTTTTGTATGTCCGTTCCCTTGTTGAAATAAAAACTCAGTAATTAGAACATTAAAACCAACTAGTAATCTCAACCTCACTTCTTCTGACTCGGTGTAACTTACTGAAAAATACTCAATAATGCATAATATACTAAATTTACTAGCTCAGTAACCTATCTACTTTAGCCTAGCTTATGTTTTGTACTTCTCAAGTCATTTCCTAAACTTTCAGGTAGGTTCTTTTCATTATTCCACATCCATTATGCTATGTCCAACCTTCCTCTGACCAAACAATGATACAAGTGTCTAATTTAAAAATGTGGTTTACAACTACATTATCTGATCATAGATACAGCTTTGAAGCACATAAAGACATAGTAATGCTTTATGGATTGAAGTCTGAACATGGTATTGTGAGATAGTAAGAAAAAATGATATCCTTAGATAGTAAAGGAAAGTGAATATTTTCAGATTTCACGTAAAAAACAAACAATAAGATACTTCTAGACTTCCTAGAAAAATAAAAAGGTTTTATTTTTTTATGTGTTGAGGCATATTCACTGATAACTTCTGTGCTTAAAACATAAAGCCACTTCAGCCAGTTAGATCAATGAAAACAGTTAATGAAAATAGTCATAATGTTGGATGAAATAACTGGAAGAATCCCAGTGTGTATGTTAAAATCATTAGTCATAATGTTGGATGAAGTAACCAGAAGAATCCCAGTGTGTATGTTAAAATCATTAGTCATAATGTTGGATGAAGTAACCAGAAGAATCCCAGTGTATATGTTAAAATCATTAGTCATAATGTTGGATGAAGTAACCAGAAGAATCCCAGTGTATATGTTAAAATCATTAGTCATAATGTTGGATGAAGTAATCAGAAGAATCCCAGTGTATATGTTAAAATCATAGCTAAGATGACATAAGGTTTTCTACACCTAAATGTCAACAAATTTAAGACAAGAACACTTCTATTTGAAAGGTTTTTGATGCAGTCTTCCAACTGAAATATCAAGAGAGATACTAGAGATTACTCCAATATGTCTATTGGTTTAAGAGCTATACTATTCTATTTTTAAAATCATTTAGTGGACATCAACTGTAAGATTTATCATGTCATCCTAATTTGTAGGTTATAATCAGTGGGCCTCACAAGCTCTAACATGCATTTTTTTTTTTGATATCACAACCTCTAGGAGCTATTGATGGTAGCCATCTTATGAGTTAAATTTGGTGAAGATTCTCATAAAAATAAGTTATGGATTACAAACATAAAGCCAAAATATAATATATAGATGAGTTAGATAATTTATGGAGGCAACTTTACAAGTAAAAATTATTAATGGGACTGATCCATACGAAATGTAAAGGAAAAAAACCCAAAAGCTTAAATCGAGACAGACTTCTGGATATCATATCCCGACATCAGGTTGCCTGGAAAATTGAGCAAAGAATGAAATTACATGCATATAATGTTTTTTCTTCACTGAAATGTGTCCTCTTCAAGAGTCAGTTAAATTCTTAGTTGGCATGTTTTTTGTTTTTTTTTTACACTCAAATAAATCTTAATACTAGAGAGAATAAAAAATATAAACCAACCTTTAAAAAAAGATGCATATTTGGTCTGTTGAAGTGTCTTTACAAAAGTCTGACCATGGAGACTAAAACTAATGACAAAGTTTCAATACATAAGTACTCCGAGTGAGCTATATTATAAAACTGTTTGCAATAGCATCTGTCCTATCAGTTTAAGTACAGACTATAATTACTGTAAGCCAAACCTTAGTTTATGTTTTAATTTGACAGAAACACCATCTAGCTGCTGCTTTAAATGTCAGAAGATTGGTCCATTTATCACTGATAGAAAAGCAAAGATAAAAATAATTTCATCCAGTATTGAGCAGAAAGACATTTTTCACGTAGAACTGCAAGTAAGATTAGAAGACTATCATAAACTCACAAATTTTCACAATAATATATCTCAAGTTTTACCTTGAAGTCACACATTCAAGGAGAATTAAAATGTACTGGATGTCGTGGATCGCAAAGGAAGTCCCCACAAACTCTGTAAAAAATGAGTTTAATACTCACCCTTTAACTTTAGCATGAAATGACAATGCATTTTAATTTAGCATCTTAATTACAATGATAATTGCTTCCCAAATAACCCTAAAAATCTAAACAGATGGCAATGTCTTGTTCAGTGCAGAGCTATGAAGGTAAAGCTGCATATACCAGAAGGTTGCAATGAAAGAGATGACCTGGCATCACAGATGCATATTTGAAAGTAGTATCAGATTTGCATTTTGCAGATGCCTAGTATCATTATGAAAGCTACACTTCATGTAAAGGAATATACAACACTGCTACAAATCTTCAGCAAACAGAGATATTGCCTTCAGGAAAGTTGTTTTTATCATTGAGGATGAACCTAGAAGGATTTCGAACCCAGTATAACTCTATAAAATTGTCTCTCAGTATCTGTCCTTGCACAGCTGCTATGATCCTCATGCATCTCCAAACAGTTGTACAGAATGGGTAATTTTGTAATATTGCTGTGATCGACAGTTCATTTTATAGTGCTATACCAGCCCACAACCAAAGCAAATTCTTTGGTCTTCCCTTCCAGAGTAACATCTAGAGATCATTGGTATTTCCTGTGGCACAATTCCATCATGGAAGGTTGATTAGTCTTGAAGACCTTTTAAGAGGCGTGTATAACCACTTTTGCTCTAGTGCTAAATGGCAAGAGCTTTTAAAGGAAGTTCAGTAATTTTAAGGGTTTAAAAACATAGTCAAATTGTTTGATTAATGGTTTAATTGCGTTTCAAAATTATACACGTCAGTTATCTTTGAAGATCCAACACACTTGTTCTTTCCCAATTACAAAATCGTACATAAGAGAATTGCTTGAAGTTATGAATAATGCCTTAGACAAGCTCAAATTATTTAACATTCTCTTTTAAAGTGATGCTCTATTTTCCCCAAAATACGTGTAGAAATAGAAATATTTGTAATAACCATTTTCACGAAGGTTAGCTAAGCTAAATTAGTTGATGATATTGTGATTATTGAATGAAAGGAAAGAACGTGAGCATTTGCCACTGAACAAAGTATAACTAAGTATCTTAGCAGAGTCCACACTGACAGACCTGAAAACAAGTGACAAACATAAAACACGAAAAAATACAGATCCATTCATTAGGTAGATAATTCTATAAAAGAAAGGCATATATGGGATAAAACAGACATCTTGGCTTGATAATCCAATCTTTGAGCATACCAAGCTATTTGAAGGATATCTGCACATTTACTAACACATTATATCACCATACGTCAGAAAGGACGAACATGTTTGGTGGGAGGTTTCGATCCCATGGTCCACACATTACGAATCGTGCTCGAGCTATATAACAACACCAAACTATGTCAAACCTAGAAACAGCATTTTTTAATAATAAATATCTCGTTGAATCTTCTGTTATTCTGCGGAACTATCCTATCGCACTAAGAAAAATCAGTTTAACTTGAATATACAACATGGAGAATATGTTGTGTTATTTTTAATCTATGAATGAACTTGTTTTGATAGAAAGTTTGTTTTAACGTAACAGTTAAGGTTTTGCGCATATAAGATTACAGTTGCAATTAATATTAAAGATGAAGAACTACGATTTACAATTTAATTATATTTTTTGTGTATTCTCCTTAGTATGCCCTTAGAGAATATAAGTTATAGTTTTTCTTTAAAAATAAACAAATTTTTATTGAAAGTTCATTTTATTTAATGTAACATAAAACTACGTTTTCTGAATATATGGCAACTATGGCTAAAAATAATGGACGGTACTATTTGCGATTTAAATATTTTACTTTGTGTATGCTAATAATGGCACTTTATTATTTTCATCAGTTTTTATTTCACTTTTTTATATTTTATGTTAAAAATTAATCAAATGGATTTTACTAGTGTTACAAGTAGTAAAACTGAAAAGAAATGTTCTAAATATATTACAAATATATATTTTGAATAACTCATAATAGCTTGAGAACTAATTTCAAGATTTTTATACACAGCACCAGGATCTAAAAAAATTCTTGAGTGGAACAACCGAGTGCATGTAGTGACTACAGCGCTACCTTTTATACACGTTTTAAAAATGTCTCCGAACTTGATTGTTAAAGTTCATCCTGTTATCCTTTTTAGCATTGTCGATTCTTACGAAAGAAGACATGAGGGTGCTAATCGTGTAATTGGAACTTTACTAGGTATGAGAGTGTAGATGTTTACGGTAAAAACAGTAATAATACTGCCACGAATGTTAACAAAACTTGTAGTTATAAAGTAGGCTTAATACTGACTGTTTTGTAGTACGTAGTACTAGCACTAGTTATTGAGTGTGGCGTAAGGTGTCATGCAGGTAATTTCGTTCACTAATGTAGCTTGTGTTAATTAATAACATTTCTTACGATACTTGTACTCTTGCTAAGGTGTATGGAATCTGACTTGAGGTTTCTCTGCTATAACTATAAATCATAACATAACTGTTTTGGGACAACATGGGACCTATTGCATTGGTCCATCTCGGCTGTTCCATTCTCTAAACTAAATTATAGTAATTTAAAAAAAAACCTTAAAGCCAGCTCTTATCATTCATATACTTATCAAGCTTTTTCTTAAACTCATTTAAATTTACTGCCTCTACAACATCTGAAGGCAACCCATTCCAAAGGCCAACCACACTGTTAGAAAAATGAAACTATCTTAGCTGAAGATGACTCCTACCTCGCTAAAATTTATACTTGCATCCATTAGTCCTACAGTCCTCACTGTTAAATATGAAAAAGATGATGCATCAACACTGTTTAATGCTGTGTTTATAAGCCCCTTCATGTACATACTAAAGCTCAATGCTGTGTCTATAAACCCCTTCATGTACAAACTATAGTTTAACACTGTCTATATACTAGTTCTGTGTTACTAGTTAGAAACATTGTCTTTTACACTAGTTCTGTGTTATTAGTTAGAAACATTGTCTATACACTAGATCTGTGTTAGTTAGAAACATTGTCTATATACTAGATCTGTGTTATTAGTTAGAAACATTGTCTATATACTAGTTCTGTGTTATTAGTTAGAAACAGTGTCTATATACTAGATCTATGTTATTAGTTAGAAACATTGTCTATATACTAGTTCTGTGTTATTAGTTAGAAACAGTGTCTATATACTAGATCTATGTTATTAGTTAGAAACATTGTCTATATACTAGTTCTGTGTTACAAGTTAGAAACATTGTCTGTATACTAGATCTGTGTTATTTAGAAACAGTGTCTATATACTAGATCTATGTTATTAGTTAGAAACATTGTCTATATACTAGTTCTGTGTTACAAGTTAGAAACATTGTCTGTATACTAGATCTGTGTTATTTAGAAACAGTGTCTGTACACTAGATCTATGTTATTAGTTAGAAACATTGTCTATATACTAGTTCTGTGTTATTAGTTAGAAACATTGTCTATACACTAGTTCTGTGTTACAAGTTAGAAACATTGTCTATATACTAGTTCTGTGTTACTAGTTAGAAACAGTGTCTATATACTAGTTCTGTGTTATTAGTTAGAAACATTGTCTATACACTAGTTCTGTGTTACAAGTTAGAAACATTGTCTATATACTAGTTCTGTGTTACAAGTTAAAAACATTATCTATGTACTAGATCTGTGTTATTAGTTAGAAACATTGTCTATATACTAGTTCTGTGTTATTAGTTAGAAACATTGTCTATACACTTGTTCTGTGTTACAAGTTAGAAACATTGTCTATATACTAGTTCTGTGTTATTAGTTAGAAACATTGTCTATACACTTGTTCTGTGTTATTAGTTAGAAACATTG